CCAAGAGAGTAAGGAAGCGTTGACGCGCTGGCTCAGCGCTAACGCCACTCTCTGTTGACCTGAGATTTCTGAACCACTTTGGTAAAGATAGTGGTGGCTATCAGAACCGGAAACCTTGATATTACGGGAGNTTATACCGTCGTTGGGGTACCAGGTAAGAAGATACTTCCTGGGGTGCTGAAAACACGTGTTGGTTGTAAATCGTAGGAATTAATTAGCCTGTCATCGTTTTCGCAGCGATGGTCTAATCCGAAATTCCCAATAATGTTTAGATGAAGGTTCTTGTCCACCTGTTCGAGCATTCCAGTCTCCCGCCACGATAAGTACATCTCTCTTGCGGATGCGATTTACTACCTCCTGAAAACTGTCGTAAAACTCATCCTTCGCTACTCTGTCGGATGATAGAGTGGGGGCGTAGACTGCTACCACGGTGAATGTGGTAGGATTACCTTAGAAGCCTGCTACAGCGATCCTTGACGATATTGGTTCCCAAGAGAGTAAGGAAGCGTTGACGCGCTGGCTCAGCGCTAACGCCACTCCCTGTTGACCTGAGATTTCTGAACCACTTTGGTAAAGACAGTGGTGGCTATCAGAACCGGAAACCCTGATATTACGGGAGCCGGAGTCGACTAATCGTACTTAGGATAAACATGCAACATTAACGCGGTAGTCGTGTAACGTGCGCACAGTCACTGCCTGGCTCCCAATATTCAAGAGGGTTTTCACGTTCCAGCATCCCACGTAGAGATGCTTTCTAAGTTGGAGAGGTTGAGGAGGTCCAGTTTCCATTCTTGGCACTCCGAACATTGGGGGAGCGCGGAGCGCGTCGCTTACCGGGGACACTGTAGCATGGGTAACGAGGCTTGCAGAAGACATAATCAACAAGGTACTTGGGAGTTTGGTACGAGAAACGTCCTCAGCGTCACTCGGCGTTTTTTATTTTGAGGGTTCACCTCTAGTTTTCGCACAACCAAGTGCGGACTGCAAGAGAGCAGGAAGTAAACCCCCGCCTCGGAAGTGAGGGGGTCAATGACTTTAGTTTTAAAAGGCCAGTCACATCGACACCGTCATTGAACTTATGTGGCTTTTAAACGGGAGCCAGGTGACCAGCCTGAAACCCACCACACCCTGGTAATGCCACCGCTATTTTTTGCGGTATACCACAACTTATTCACAGCTAGCATTCTTCGGTGAAGAGATCCCCTATCCACAACCTGGGGACGCACCTGGTAGTATTCAGCTCTGCTTAACCCGAGGGTATCTCGGACTTTTCATTTTGTCGCTAGATGGCACATGTTTCCTAATAGCTAAGCGTGAACCCTCTGAACCCAGCAACTTTAGCTTCATTTCCCTCTTCCCAGCTCTCTGTGACATATATATGCATATTATGACGTGATTTCACGGCGTTTTGGTAATCTTACTCTTACCTGTTTCATACTAATTGCCCACGAAATTAGATTGAATGCCATACAAAATTGTCAGGTGTACCAGATCTGACTTTGGCATTTTCCAATCATCGTCTGATTGATGACGCCAGTCTCCATCCTTGTGTACGATTTTTGCGCTGGAAACGGGAACGGGTTTTGTCGTTCATACCACCGGATGGGCATTTTTGCCTCATGAACTATGAGGTGAATTGTTTGAGGTAAGTCACCCCGTTTATCATCACGAATATATATCGTATATTTCATGTGAGTAATGGAGGATTTAGTTAAATTTCAAATGGGAATTCGTCGTTTATATAGCAAATAAAGCGTGAAGTGAAAAGCTCGGAAGCACTGGACAGCTGTTTTGACCTAGTTGGGTCTCATCAGTCCCGGGTTCGATCCCCAGTCGGGTCGATGGATTCGCACTGCTGATGAGACCCAACCAGGTCGAAACAGCTGTCC